AAGTGGCCTCGCTTTCTATGCCTGCTGCCTGGGGGCCTCTCCACGGCAGCGCGCTCACACCTCCTCACGCTATCCGGACAGAAAGTCCCCACTGCTGTCTGCTTCCTGTACGCACCATGTGAAGAGATTATGTGGTACCCTGCTACTCTGTTCTCGGCAGCCGGGGTTTCAGCGCACTCGCTATGCAAGACTGCTGGACTGGATTCATCTACGCAGGGCCAGGTGCCCTGACAAGGGGAAAACTGCAAATACATTGCGCATCGCAGTGCGACATTGCCTCTGCCTCGCGCGCTACTGTTGCACAAAATGCGAAGCCCAATCATTCTGCTGCTACATTGGACCTGACTGTGCCTCCCACGTCCCCCTTTTACCCCCCCTCAAGTCAACGATTATCCTCCTAGAGGCCCTGGCTCGCCGTGCATCCTTAACCGATGCAGCAAGAGAGGACAAGTTAGGAGAGCAGGGGTGAAGTCACGGGCATGTGAAGAGAAGATCAGGGTATGCCTCGCCTCCTTCTGGCACAGTCGCTGCATTCGGCACCGCTTCCAAAGCGGCGCTTCCTAGCGCAAGCTTGGCACTCATCTTTGGCCGTATCGCTCCCACGGTCGTCGAGAATGGAGCGGCCACCATGCAGCCCTTGGAAAAGCAGGCCCTCTCCAGGGGCATGTGGCAGTCCCGTCGGTGTCCATGAGCTGCTGGGTGCACCTGGCTCCATATCGGCCACAGAGCCTCCCACGCCCAAAGAACCTGCGGCTCCCCGAGCAGCAGCTTGCAGGACACCGCCACCGACATCCGCAGCGCCAAACTGCGGCTGCCTGGCCGTGCCGTAGGAACCGAGGAACGTGTCAGACTCGTGCTCCACGACGGGCACCGCGCTCGCGACCACGCCGAAATGCTGCTCCTCGAACTCCTGGTCTTCGGCATTGTCAAGCACGGGGAGCGTGGCCGCGAGGCGCAAGCCCGCCTCCAGGCCATCCCCGAAGGCCTTTGCCAGCAAGGCTGCGGCCCCGAGCGGGACCTCCCAGGTGCCAGAAGCCAGTGCCGCGCCGATGGAGACGACCTGCTCCGCCTCCTCGCCCAGCACTGGTCTGGCAGCGAACCCAAGCCTCGGCCCATCAGCCACCTGCGGCTCGAAAAAGTCGGCGTCATCGCACGGAGCCGCACTGCGAGGGGGCCCTGGGGCAGCAGCGCTGGCGCCAAGGCGAGGACCAGCTGCTGCCCCAGCGATCCCGTCGCCGGCGGCTGCGGCGAAGCCACGAGCTGGCGCGAGAGCCGCGTGCCAGGCCGCGTTTCGCCGCCTACGCGTGGCTCCTGGCACTGCCGCGCCGGCCGACAGGAGCTTCAGCGCGGGCCGCGCCGCCAGTTCCCTGTCTTGCCAGGAGCCTGGCTCGCCGACGCAAGCACGTGCGCGCAGAGCCGCATCGAGAGCATCCCGAAGGCGCCGTCGAGCAGCGCGGCGAGCCGCCGTCGGGCCGAGGACAGCGATGTCGGCGGCACGCAAGGCGCTGGGCCGCCGCGTACTCGGGCAGCCCCCCGCAAACATCTAAGGCGTGCCCGCCGCCGCCTCCGAGCCGCCGACCATGGGCGAAAAGGCTGCGGAGAAAGCGGGGAACACGGCTTGAGCCAACCAAAATGGCTACGGCCTCCTCCTCCTCCTCCTCCTCCTCCCCCTCCTCCTCCTCCTCCCCCCCCTCCTCCTCCCCTCCTCCTCCTCCCTCTTCTCCTCCCCCTCCCCCTCCTCGTCCTCGTCGTCGGCGATCTCGTGCAGTTCCTGATCTTCTCGTGGGTCGGCGGAATGACGTAAGGCTCTTGAAGAGAATCGGATCGGAACGTGCGCCAAATCGGGCCGCATCGGTACGGCGGCGGATCGGATCACTTCGGCCGCACAGCGAGGTGCAACCGCATCGGGCCGCATCGGATTGATGAAGTCGGGATGGGGGCCAGCCGAAACCGATCATCGAACTGGATCGATCGGATCGAAGAGGCCCTCTGGTGCCGCCGAGAGAGCCGAGGGGGGAGAGGCGCCGTCAAGCGGGCGCGGGCATGGGCAGAGGGGCTGCAAGGGCCTCGAGAGACCAAGGCGGGACCTGGCGGGGGCGCGCACGGAAGCGGCGCGAGGGCCGCTATGGCAGGGCCTGTCCCCAACCATTCCACACTGAGCCACTCCTCCTCCGCCTCCTCTTCCTCCTTCTGTTGCTCGTCACCTCTCACTTCTGTTCCTTGCTCGTCTGCAATCCCCGCGCACCATAGCTCATCACCTGGGAAGCAGATCCCGGAAGGAGCGCGTTTCACGGGCGCTTGCTTTGAGAACTGGGGGGGGGCCCTGCCCCCCGAACATCTGGCGCCGTCAAACAAAACCAGGGAGTCTCCCCTCCCCCCCTTCCCCACCCGACCCCCCTCTGCAAGGGAGGGGGGGGGTTCGAACCCCCCCGCCACTCCCCCCTTGTCGCCGGCGTCGGCGACGTCGTCGTCACCGTCGTAGTAGTGGCCGTCGTCGTCGCACTCGTCGTCGTGGTCGTCGTCTTCGTCTTCGTCGCCGTTGTCAACGCCGTCGACATCGTCGTCGTCGCCGTCGTCGTCGTCGTCGTCGCCATCGCCGACGTCGTCGTCGTCGTCGTCGTCGTCGTCTTCGTCGTCGTCGTGTTCGTCGTCGTCGTCGTCGTCGTCGCGGTCGCCGTCGACGTCGCCGTCGCCGTCGTCGTCGTCGTCGTCGTCGTCGTCGTCGTTGTCCTCGTCGACGTCATCCTCCTCGTCGGCGTAGTAGCCGTCGCCGATGTCGTCGCCGTCGTGGCCGTAGGTGTTCGTCATGGTCCTCAGCGTCGTCATCGTGGCTGTCGTCGTCGCACTCGTCATCGTGGTCGTCGTCGTCGTCGTCTTCGTCGCCGTCGTCGTCGCCGTCGTCGTCGTCGTCCTCGTCGTCGTCGTCGTCGTCGCCGTCACCGTCGTCGTCGTCGTCGCCATCGCCATCGCCATCGCCGTCGTCGTCGTCGCCGTCGTCGCCGTCGTCGACGTCGTCGTCGTCATCGGCGTCGTCGCCGTCGTCGCCGTCATCATCGCCGCCGTCTTCGTCGTCTTCGTCATCGTCGTCGTCGCCGTGCTCGTCGTCGTCGTTCTCGTCGTTGTCACCTTGGCCGTCTTCGTCGCCGTCGTCGTCGTCGACGTCATCGTCGTCGTCGTCGTCGTCGTCGTCGTCGTCGTCGCTGTCGTCGCCGTCGTCGTCGTCGTCACCGTCGTCACCGTCGTCGTCGCCGTCTTCGTCGTCGTCGCCGTCGTCGTCGCCATCGTCGTCGTCGTCGTCGTCATCGTCGTCTTCGTCGTCGTCGTCGTCGCCGTCCCGGTCGTCGTCGTCGTCGTCGTCGTGGGCGTTGGCGTTTTCGCCCTCGTCGCCGTCCTCGTCGTCGCTGTCGTCGCCGTCTTCGTCGTCGTCGTCGCCGTCGCCGTCCTCGTGCTCGTCGTCGTCGTTGTCGTCGTCGTCGTGGTCGTCGCAGTCGTCATTGTCGTTGCCGCCGTCGTCGTCGTCGTCGTCGTCGTCGTCATCGCCGTCGTCGTCGTCGTCGTCGCCGAAATCATCGTCGTCGTCGTCGTCGTCGTAGTCGTCGCCGTCCTCGTCGTCGTAGTCGTCGTCGTCGGCGTTGTCGGCGTTGTCGCCGTCGCCGCCGTCCCCGATGTCGTTGTCATCGTCGCCGTCGTCGCCGTCGTCGCCGTCGCCGTCGTGGTCGTCGTCGTCGTCGTGGCCACCGTCGTCTTCGTCGCCGTTGTCGTCGTCGTCGTCATCGTCACCGTCGTCGTGCTCGTCGTTGCCGTCGCTGGCGTCGTCGTCGCCGTCGTCGTCGCCGTCGTCGTCATCACCGCCGCCGTCGTCGTCGTCGCCGGCGTCGCCGTCCTTCTCGTCGTCGTCGTCGTCGTCGTCGTCATCGTTGTCGTCGTCCTCGTGCTCGTCGTCGTCGTCGGTTTTCTTCGTCGTCGCCGTCGTCCTCCTCATCGCCAGTCCCCGCCGCCGCCGCCGCTGGCCGCCGCCGACCGCCGCTGGCGCCGGCGCCGGCCCGGAAGGGGAAGGGGTTCGAACCCACCCGGTTGAATCCAGGGGCGGGGGGGCCGAACCGCCCTCCTCCAAGCGCCCGTAGAACGCGCTCTTTCAGATCTCGGAGGGGGGGGGCGCTGCGTTTCGACTTCGCAGACGTTGTCAAGCACAACTCCATCCTCGACTTCAGCACTTTGGTTCAAGGCGTGAGCCCAGTGTTGTTGGCACGCGACCGTTCCTCGAGCACTGGTTCTCAAGGTCCCCGCCTGCGACGCGAACTGAGCAGGGCGAGCACCGAACCGACCGATTCGAACCACGGCGATCATGCGAGAGACAAGGAAACAAAGAAATAGAGAGAGAGAGAGAAGGGCGGCTGCACCGCTCGACAGCAAACGAGGTGGGGTGGGAATCACCCCCTGTTTGGAACTGTTCTCCTGATCCTTCTTGCACCCCCTCGCTCGCCGCCGAGTTCAGTTTTCGGGTCAAAACTCGGGTCTCTGGCGGCAATTCGGGACGATCCTGACATTCCTGGAACGCTCTCGGCGAGGCGCAGCCGCTGGAACGCATCCCGAGGGCGGAATACTGCCAAGAAACTACGAAATCGCCCGAAAACCTAGAACCTCGAAGTTCGAACCTCGAACTTCCCGGCTCGACGCTCCGCCAGGGCCTCCACGAGACCTCGGATGCTGGTGGGAGCCCTAGGCGAGCCGCGACCGCCGCTGCATGCGCAGCCTGGCTGAAGCACCGCGCGCATCGGAGGGGAAGGGAGGAGCCCAGAATCGAAGCGACATGAATCTGATCGTCGGAGCTCGGCAGCCGAGTCGAGAGAAGTTGAGTCGGCGGAAATCGGCAGGCCAGTAGGCCTCCATGGGAGAAAGAGGAGGAGGAGGAGGAGGAGGAGGAGGAGGAGGAGGAGGAGGAGCGGCAGTGGAGGAACTCGAAAGGCCACCAGGAACAGGAGACCCTCGCAGTGCCCGTCCATGGAGCGCGACGGGTTCGGCTGGATGGCCAGGAGGCACAGGTCCTCCTCGGCGGGCGGAGGCGGAGAGGCGGAGAGCATCTCCTCCTCCTCCTCCTCCTCCTCCTCCTCCTCCCTGCTTTTCCCCTCCTCCTCATCCTCGTCCTCCTCCTGCTCCTCCTGCTCCTCCTCCCCGTCTTAGGCGGATGAGGAGGGGGCGGAGAAAAGAATCCGCCGACCACCGCTTGCTGGGGGTGACACGGCGTGTGAGATGAGAGGCCCCTAGAGGCCCAAAAGAGGTCCAAAGAAGCCCCAAAACGGCCACCAAGAGACCTCCAAACTGCCTCCAAGAGGCCCCCGAGGGGCCCCCCACGAGATCCCAACGAACATCCAATAGGCTTCATACCCACAACCCAGGCACGGTGACAGAATGGGCCGAAGGCCATCCGGATAATTGGATTGGCTGTCCCCCGCATGCGAGGCGGGGATTTATCCATATCCACCGCCTGGGAAACGACGTCCTGGTGCCCCAGCGGGCGATGGATATGGATACATACGCACATGAATATATATATATATATATATATATATATATATAGATAGATTCTGGCCCCCGGGGGCCCGAATATATCCATATCCGCCGCCTGTGGAGGTCCGCGAAGATCAATTCCCCCGGCGGTGGCTATGGATGAATCTCCACCTCGGACCTCACCCCCCCCCTCCCCGCTCCCCCGTGGTCCCGACTCGTGCTTGAGGCGCCCGCCCACCCCCCTGGAGGCGCAGGGGCTCGCCAACGCACCCACGGGGCCTCCGGAGCCTCCACACACCGCCTCCGTGGCTTCCGAGCTGCTCAATGCTCCATCTACGCTGGCTGCAACGTGCCGAGGAAGCCTCAAAAACTCCCACGATAACCTCAAGACGGCCAAAGAGGCTTCGAAGACGGCCCAAGAGAGCCCCCAAAGAATCTCCACGAGTGTCCCACAGGGCAAAAACCGCCCAGATGCACGAGCAAAAGCGTGTGCATTTTTTCTTACACATTCGTCGTTTCCGCCTTCACTGCATCCGAAACGGCCCAAGAGGCTCACAAGATCGTTCCAAAACAACGCAACAAGCCCCCCTGAAGGCCCCCAAAAATCGCCCTGGAAGGTCCCCAAACGGCCCAAGGGGCGCCTAAGATGGCCCAAGAGGACCCCAACAGGGTCCTCAGAAAGGCCCAGGATACGTGAATCGAGTCAACTTTCAAGCCCTTCGCCCTGAGAGAGGATCCCAGAAACCGTAGGCAGGCGCTCAATAATCTTTTATTAAGAGTCTCCCCAGAAAACCCACCAGCCCCAAGGAAGCATCAAGACGCCCTCGAAATGACATAGTCTGTCTCCTCCTGCTCAACCCCTCCTCCGCCTCTTCCTCCTCCTCCTCCTCCTACCTCCTCCCTCCTCCCTCCTCCCTCCTCTGTCCGCCCTCCTCTCTCCTCCCTCCTCACCTCCTCCCCCTCCTCCCTCCTTCCTCCTCCTCCCTCCTTCCTCCTCCTCCCTCCTCCCTCCTCCCTCCTCCCTTCTCCCTCCTCCGTCCTCCCTGCTCCTCCTGCTCCTCCTGCTCCTCCCTCTCTTATTTCTCCATGTCGTCCTCAGTCGTGGTCTCGATTGTCCATGGCTGTCGCACTCATCGGGCGACTCGTAATTTCTTTAGGCTCCTTTCATATGGGTGTCGGCGGAATGGCGTCAGCGTCTTGAGCAACAAATGCCATGAACGTCAACGTTCCGAGCTCAGCGCGGACCTCCTGGGTCGGCGCTGGAACCCTACCTCTGGCGCGCGGAGGGCGCCGAGGGCGTCGCCAAAGGCGCCGCCGAGGGGCTTCCAGCGCCGATCCGATCCCAAGGCGTGCGAACCTCCGGAAGTTCATGTGTGAGGTTCTGCTCATACAATTTGGCCCTCTTCGGGATGATGGGGGCATCTGAAGGGGCCCTGGGACACACAAATAAATACACACAAATAACAGGACTCCCACATATTTTCCCGTATTTTCTAGGTTTCTGTCTTCCCCCCATTTTCCCATATTTGCTGGGGAATCGAGGATTCATTGTGTCTGTGTGTTTCTTCCCCTCCTGAAGAGAAGAGGGGCCGGCCGCCCTCGAGCACCCGGGGCTGCGACGCCACCGGGCCAGAGCTCAGCGACCCCGGGCCTGCCGGACCAATGACCGGCGCAGGGAGCTCTTCACATCCGAGGAGGGCAGGACGAGACGACCACGGACGAGGCGCGAGGTCGAGACGGCTTCGGACGAGGCTTCGGACGAGGACGAGACAGCTTCGGACAAGGCACCAGGGGCTGCGAGGCCACCGAACCAGAGCTCAACGACCCTGGGCCTGCCGGACCAATCCCCTGCGCAGGGAGCTCAATATCCGAGGAGGGCAGGACGAGACGGCTTCGGACGAGACGCAGACCCGAGGAAGAGAGGAACGCAGGCCCGAGCATCGAGGAGGTGCAGCAGCAGGGGCGGGAGGGGCGGGGCGCGAAGAAAGGGGGGGTCGGTGAAGCCAACAAGTCTAAGGCTGTGATGGCGCACCTTCCTCCTGCCTGGCCCTGGGACGTGCCGGAGGACTCGAATCAGTCCGAGCCCCAGCGGCCACGTAGTGGCCGCCGTGACCGCCAGGGCGCTCGCCGCTGCCGCTGCGGAACGCGCAGCAGATGCACAGAGGCATGCACACCTCTCCACAGCAAATCCAACGACTGCGACTGCGCATGCGAAACCATACGTTCCACCCGTACAGTAAGGACGCACGATAGGGATGCAGGGGCCTCGGAAGGCAACACCGACACTAGGCAAGCGGCGCGGAGAGCGAACGCGGCCAAGGATGGGCCCAAGGGGAAGGATGCAAGGGCAACCTTGGAAAATTGCTCACCCTTCCTATGTGGGTGGACCGTGCGCTGCACGCTGTGGCATCGATGACCGCAACAGCAACCAGCAGGCAGAACGGAGCAGACCGCCATTGGCGAGACAATCACGCAGCCGAGGGATCTCGAGCCCGCTCCGGCGGCGCCCGGGGCCAGCGAGAAAAGGGGCGCGCGAGGCTCCCCTCCGCCGCTGTCGGGGACGCGCTTGAAGAGCCTGGGGCGTGGGCGGGGAGGGGCGGCGGTGCACGGTCTCCCACGGGGCCGTAGGCGACCCGGGGAGGAGGAGGAGGAGGAGGAGGAGGAGGAGGAGGAGGAGGAGGAGGAGGAGGAGGAGGAGGAGGAGGAGGAGGAGGAGGAGGAGAGCAGGAGGAGGAGCAGGAGGAGGAGCAGGAGGAGGAGGAGGAGGAGGAGGAGGAGGAGGAGGAGGAGGAGGAGGAGAGGGAAAGGGAGGAGGAGCAGGAGGAGGAGGAGAAGGAGGAGGAGGAGGACGGAGGAGGAGAGGAGGAGGAGGAGGAGGAGGAGGAGGAAGAGGAGGAAGGAAGAGGAGGGGGAGGAGGAGGAGGAAGAGGAGGAGGAGGAGGAGGAAGGAGGAAGAGGAGGAGCAGGAGGAGGAGGAGGAGGAGGAGGAGGAGGAGGAGCAGGAGCAGGAGGAGAGGAGAAGGAGGAGGAGGAGGAGGAGGAGGAGGAGGAGCAGGAGGAGGAGAGAGGAGGAGGAGGAGGAGGGGGAGGAGAGGGAAAAAGAGGAGGAGGAGGAGAAGGAGGAAGAGGAGGAGCAGGAGCAGGAGCAGGAGAAGGCGGAGAAGGAGGAGGAGGAGCAGCAGGAGGACGACGAGGTTGAAAAGGAGGGGGAGGGGGAGGGGGAGGGGGAGGAGGAGGAGGAGGAGGAGGAGGAGGAGGAGGAGGAAGAGGAGGAGGATAACAAGGAGGGGGAGGAGAACAAGGAGGAGGAGGAGGAGGAGGAGAACAAGGAGGATGAGGAGGAGAACAACGAGGAGGAGGACAACAAGGAGGATGAGGAGGAGAACGAGGAGGAGGAGGGATGAGGAGGAGGATAAGACACTGCAGGGGAGAACATCGCGCAGTGTACAGACGACCACCTATGGGAGGGGCGCCACGACTGGACGTGCCACACTTGCCTTGCTGCGTGCGGGGGCCCACCGTACGGATCTCGGCCACCCACACACACGGCTAACATTGTTATGCACGTGCCGCATTCAAAAGTTAGCGCGTCCTCAGGCAGCTGAGGCCGCCAGCGCCCAGAAGTGAAAGGAAACGGTGGCCCCAAAAGGAGCCGAACCCATCGGGTTTCGTGGTCGGTGGCCAGGAGTGGCCTCGGACCAGGGATAAGCCGACCATCGGCCTTCCTCTCGTCGGCAGGGTGCCGTCCCGAGAGAAACAGGCGTCGGTTGCGTAGGGCACGCTCTGACAAGACGTGACCTTCATGCGCATGACGGTCTATCACTAAATAACCTGAAGTGCCAATGCTGTAGAAGCCGCGCGATGCACAAAACGCCACCTGCCCCGAAGAGACCCAAAGACGGCGTCCTCTCGCGGGCTCGGCGGGGACCACGCCTTGCAACGGCACAGGGGCGGCAATAATGGTTTCACCAACCCGTGTGGGCCGATTGCCCCGTCTTGAGGTAGTGCGGCGACGCTTGGCACTCGGCGCGGAAACAGAGCCACGACGCGAAGGGGCTTCTGGGGAGGCTGACCCAACACCCACAGGAGCCGAGACCCTCGCATTCGCAACTTGCAACAGGCCAGCATCAGGAGGCGCTGTTAAAGCCAACCCGCCTCCTGACACTATTCGCGCAAGGAGGCATGGAACGCTCGCGCGCCCTGATCTCCGTAAGTTTAAGTCGCTGAAGGCGGGCCTCCTGGGGCTCGCCATCCCGTTCGCGCTCCAGGCCCCGCCTGCCCAGTGGAGCCCCATGGAAGTCCGCGAGCCCAGGAGGGCCAGAGAAAAGGGGTGCCGCGAAGTCGCGGCAGCACGGCCGTCTGAGTCGGCGCCTGACGACGCAGGGCCTACGCCCACCGCCTCCACCGACCTCTTCCGAAAGCTGCGCGCCACCAGAAGCCCCAACACTCGGGGGGGCCGATGCGATTCCACGCATCCCATGGACAAAACCACGGGCCAAACACCTTTCGGCGCCCTTCCGCTTCACCGAAGTTTCGGTCTTCGCCTTAACCCTACAAACATTACAGTGCCAAAAAATATCCCGGGCCTTAGCCATGGCGTGGCGCAGGTTCGGGTCTATCGGCAAGTCGGGGGGCGGAGCTCGCGTCGGCCTAGCTTTCTTGCTAGGGCGGGCCACGGTGTGGATACAGCCAGACCCCACATAATGCAGCTGCGCAGATACAAGACACTGCAACGCATGTTGGGCAGACCTCAAAGCCACGCGCATCGCTCGCTTCGCTGGGCTTTCAGGCGCGTGAAGGTCCCGACCCTGGCGCGCCGCCTGGTCAGCCCAGCGGTTGCCGCGAGCCTCAAACGAGCCCCCCGATTGGTGCCCCCGAGCGCGCGTGACTTGCACGGCCTCTCCAAGGCCCCCGAGATCATCTATCTTGGCCAAGATAGAGGCCCATAACTCTGCAGTGGGCCTGCGAGGCCCACAGGTAAAAGCAGGGCCTGCAGCAAGCCTATCTATGATCCCCAGGAAGTCCGTATGGACGTGAATGGGAGGAGTCCATACGCTCAGTAGTAAGAGAAATTTGTATAATTCAGCACGATGAGAGCTCTGAGACGGACCACGGAGAGCACCATAGACCAGCAGTTCAATGCCACCTGGCCTGTCTTGTAACTTTGCAAACCCCCAACCAGCACGCGTAGCTTCTGGCCAGAACCAAGAGTGTCCCGTGACCATGTCGAGCGAACCGCACTGCACGTGCCATCGATGGCGACCGTCCCGCCTCGGCAACGGCGGGAAGCACGATCTCGGTGCTAGGCTTCTCGTCGAGAACCAAGACCCAGACGAAACTGCTGGGAACCCGCGCATGTCGACACCACCTATTGCCTGGTGCCGCTGGTGTGCTCTGCCGCTACAGTCCCAAGATGTGGTAGCTGTTACTGCTCCTCTTCACAATGTGGGCATTCGGAGGCGCGGGCGTAGCCGTTCAAGTACAGCCGAGACGGAGACCAGCAACCACCACTCACAATATAGCGCGAAGCATCGCCGCTTCCGCGTAGCTAGGAAACCAGGGCGGCGACCGAGGTATGCCCTCCTCCTCCTGGCGATCCTCATCAGGATCTTCATCGGGGGCATGTGGGGCACCTTTGAGGAGGCGTATGCTGGGCTCGATCCAATAACCGAGGGGGTCCTTGGGATCCATGGTGAGGTCCGCTGGGTTGTTCCTGCTAGCCCAATCTTCCCAAAGACGTCGCACCCCAGCGGCGTGGGCAACGTCTCGCACATGAACTGGTGCTGCCGTGCGAAGATCAACTCTGTCGCCATAATCGGTGGCAAGTACAAAATCGGAAGTAGAGCGCCGGCCCAAACCTCGCAGAGCATGCAACATGGCACCGGTGGTGCCGACCACCTTTTCCCAAGGCGAGGTGGCTTCGACACACCTGTCGCCTCCGCGCCTGCTGCAGTGTGTCATGAGATATGCTCTTGTCCCAGACCAAAAGGCCAACTGAAAGACGGGTTGAACCCAGCATGCTATCTGAGGATCTTCGGAGTGAGAACCCTGGAGGCAGGAACTGATCCACGATGATGTGGAGGCACCAGGGGTGCACCACGTACTTCTCATGACGCTCCACATCTCACGCACCTGGGAGGGCAGAGCGCCATGCACTCCGACTCCGTACTGCATGGCCGACGGTAGCGCCTGTCAGGCACAGCGTGAGACCACGGCCCCAGCCTTCCGAAGAGTAGAGATGCGAGGAAGTCGTCTCTTAATGGCTCGAATGCGATCCCGAAGTTTGCGAAATCGAAGCGGTCGTCCTGCCGCGACTTCTATTCCCAAGACCTCCACGCCCGCTGCGTAACGATAGCCGAGATGTTTCACCCTGCCCTGGGCGACTCGACCGATCTTGGGATTACTCGACGTGGTCGTCATTTTGTGGATGGCGGGGTTAAGATCCATCCCTGCCAAGACATCCACCAAGAGAATCAGGATCTTGACACCCGCCTCAATAGTCATAGTTGCCGCCCCCATGATCGCTATCGCGACGTCGTCGGCGTACAGATTAATCGTCTTCGAGATCTGCGTCGCGCGTTTAAAGGGAGAGTCGAAGGGGGGGAGCATGATGAGCTTCAGGCAGAACGTCGCCATCGGAAAGCGCGGCAGAACGCCTCTAGTCGCCCACACTGAGCGCGAGAGACAGCCTTCCCACGAGACACGGCGAGCGCCCATGTACATCCTCATGGCGAGGACAAGCAGGCGACCTGGAAAAATGCGTGACAGCCGCGCCTATCAGTCGCCTCCAGGGCACTCGATCGAAACACTTCTCGATGTCCACAACTGCTTGGACTGTGGTGTGGCTGTCAGCATTCTGAATCGATGTGGCTTCAGCCTATACTAGAAGTCGCGCAACCACGTCGGTGGTAGACTTCTGCGCCCCCAGCGCCAAATGCGGCCTCCCCAGACTTAAGGCCCAAGACCGTGTCCAATCAAGCCAGGCCTTGCCCCACAACCGATAAACCGAGTTAAGTAGGGCTATGGGGCGGTGGCCACCAGCGGGCTCAGCTGGGAGAACAATGCGGGTGTTCTGCATGAGCGCAGGCCAGATACCCCAATATTCACATATGTGCATGATGCAGCCTAGGAGCGAGAGGCTGCCGTTGGAGACGAAGGCCCAAAGAAGCGGCCTGAACCTATCCGGCCCAAGCGCAGTGCTCGAGGGAAACCTCAGGGCAGCCCTGCGAAGATCTGGTATCCGCCATGGTGGATATCGACGCCCTCGCCCCAGAAGGTCTTGCAGGTCCCCCAGGATGTTGTCGTCTGGCGTCTACTGGATCCCCGAGACGCAGTCGGCGGCCTCGTCGAGGCCATCCCAAATCTTGGCCCAAGACTGCCGCTGGGAGTCGACGATGTCCATGGGGAGACTTGAGGGGCCACTCGGAGTATCCACGCGCGAGAGTTGCCATCCCTTCGGCTTCGTCCACCGGCGCACTGCGCCAGGCGATTGTACGAGAGACTTACGTACCCAAGCGCGGAACGTCTTTGCGCGCTGCTGGGCTAGCTTACTCTCAATAACTTCTGCCTGCTTCC